TGTATAAAAGACACCTGGGAGCCAGAAATCTTTCTGATTGAGAGGGGGTCAAATACTTATTTCCCTCATTAAAATGCAAATCAATTTATAACAATTGTGACATGCGTTTTTCTGGATTTTTGTTGTTGTTATTCTGTCTCTCACTGTTCAAATAAACCTACCATTAAAATTATAGACTGATCATTTCTTTGTCAGTGGGCAAACGTACAAAATCAGCAGGGGATCAAATACTGTTTTCCCTCACTGTACATATATGGACAAGCAATGACAGAGTGGCATGGACTAAGATACAGAATAATATTATAGAATAGAATGCAGTATATACAAATGAGATGAGTAGTGCAAGATATGTAAACATTATTAAAGTGACTAGTGTTCCATTTCTTAAAGTGGCCAGTGATTTCAATAGGCAGCAGCAGCCTCTAATGTGCTAGTGATGGCTATTTAACAGTCTGATGGCCTTGAGATAGAAGCTGTTTTTCATTCTCTCGGTCCCAGCTTTGATGCACCTGTACTGACCTCACGTTCTGGATGATAGTGGGGTGAACAGTCAGTGGCTCGGGTGGTTGATGTCCTTGATGATCTTTTTGGCCTTCCTGTGACATCGGGTGCTGTATGTGTCTTGGAGGGCGGGTAGTTTGCCCCCGGTAATGCGTTCGGCAGACCGCACCACCCTCTGGAGTGCCCTGCGGTTGTGGGCGGTGCAGTTGCCGTACCAGGCGGTGATACAGCCCGACAGGATGCTCTCAATTGTGCATCTGTAAAAGTTTGTGAGGGTTTTAGATGATAAGCCACATTTCTTCAGCCTCCTGAGGTTGAAGAGGCTCTGTTGCGCCTTCTTCACTACACTGTCTGCGTGGGTGGACCATTTCAGTTCGTCAGTGATGTGTACGCCAAGGAACTTGAAGCTTTCCACCTTCTCCACTGCGGTCCCGTCGATGCGGATAGGGGGGGGCACCCTCTGCTGTTTCCTGAAGTCCACGATCATCTCCTTTGTTTTGTTGATGTTGAGTGAGAGGTTATTTTCCTGGCACCACACTCTCAGAGCCCTCACCTCCTCCCTGTAGGCGGTATCGTCATTGTATTGGCTGTGTGCTTAAGGTCGTTGTCCTGTTGGAAGGTGATCTTTCGCCCCAGTCTGAGGTCCTGAGCACTCTGGAGCAGGTTTTCATCAAGGATCTCTCTGTACTTTGCTCCGTTCATCTTTCCCTCGATCCTGACTAGTCTCCCAGTCCCTGCCGCTGAAAAACACCCCCACAGCATGATGCTGCCACAACCATGCTTCACCGTAGGGATGGTGCCAGGTTTCCTCCAGAGGTGACACTTGGCATTCAGGCCAAAGAGTTCAATCTTGATTTCATCAGACCAGAAAATATTGTTTCCCATGGTCTGGGAGTCTTTAGGTGCGTTTTGGCAAACTCCAAGCAGGCTGTCACGTGCCTTTTACTGAGGAGTGGCTTCCGTCTGGCCACTCTAGCATAAAGGCCTGATTGGCGGAGTGCTGCAGAGTTGGTTGTCCTTCTGGAAGGTTCTGCCATCTCCACAGAGGAACTCTGGAGCTCTGTCAGAGTGACCATCGGGTCCTTGGTCACCTCCCTGACCAAGGCCCTTCTCCCCAGATTGCTCAGTTTGGCCGGGCAACCAGCTCTAGGAAGAGACTTGGTGGTTCCAAACTTCTTCCATTTAAGAATGATGGAGGCCACTGTGTTCTTGGGGACCTTCAATGCTGCATACATTTTTTGGTACCCTTCCCCAGATCTGTGCCTCGACACAATCCTGTCTCTGAGCTCTACGGATAATTCCTTCGACCTGATGGCTTGGTTTTTGCTCTGACATGCACTGTCAACTGTGGGACCTTATATAGACAGGTGTGTGCCTTTCCAACTCATGTCCAATCAATTGAATTGACCACAGGTGGACTCCAATCAAGTTGTAGAAACATCTCAAGGATGATCAATGGAAACAAGATGCACCTGAGCTCAATTTCGAGTCTCATAGCAAAGGGTCTGAATACTTATGTAAACAAGGTATTTCTGTTTTTTTATCGTGGAGGGACTCGCTACATTGTAGGCTAAACCTTTCTTTTAGGGGCTGTTCTTTTAGCGAGTCTGGACCCATTTTGTTCTTTGCATAAAATTGATTATAAAGACATATAAAGACAAAAAGTGTAATTCTTACAATGCATTATAACTGCGTCCTAATTCACCTGGATGCTATAAGTATTATTTTAGCCTACCAAACTGGTGAGCCTAATCATTTTGTGTGTATAATGGAAGGTTATCTAAAGCTTAATAATTACAAAACCTATTTACAGAAGTAGGCTAGAGAAGATGTGTCATTCCTTGAACTTCCAACTGACAACTTCAGGTGGAAGTTGAAGTCAGACAGGGTAGGCTACTAGTCTCGCCTGCACGCAGGGAGGCTGTACAGTAGTAGTAGGCTCTCCCTTGGCTTGCACCCCAGTTATTTTTTCAGAGGTGTAGGCCTAACCATTGGGCGCAACACTGGACAATTTCGGTGGTGTAGCCCATTGTTGCATTTCTTTGTTCCTCTTTTTATCCTCAATGGTGTGATTTGTTGATGTTTTCTTTCCCCCATGTTTATATATGGCTCTCCGGGATTCTGTCTCCATTTTTTCTCTCTCATTTACACACATCTTCAAGCCTAATGCCCTGAATACAACACACATAGATGGCTTATTACAGAAGTATCATGTTTCTGTGTATTGTGATTCACTAAATTGCAGGAGAGCAGTATAGAGAAGATTTTGGAAAGATCAACATGATGAGGATAGCTCCTGCAATCCAAGATGGAGACTTCAGTTTGGCTGAAAAGTGGGGATGAAAACATTGAGTTCAGTTGAGAGATCAATCATCTCTACCGTATCTGATGAGGCAATGTAATAAGACTACTTAACAAATCCTTGGTGATCCCTAGAGTAGCTAAACAAATCCCCATTCTGATTTTAGTAACAATTGCAATACAGTGGCCAGGCCAAGAATTTCAATGACAAACTGGTCAATCACCTCTTTAGCATTGACATCATGAAGTACCTGGCAGAGAAGCACAAGACCGCAGACCACTGATATCCAGCCGATCTGCAGAAGCGAGCCTGTGTCAATGAATACCTGTCCTGGCAGCACATGGGAATACGCAGTGGCGACCCATCATTCAGGGCAAGTGGGGCAGAGCCCCAACTGTTTTGAGCCCCACATTTGTAAAAAAAATGTGGGTTGCCTTTTTTGCATCTTATTTTGGCATTAACACGTGTCACATACCAGTTTGCAAACAATGTAAAAAAAATAATAAAAAAATCATTGAGTTAATAAACCCTCCATACAAACATTATCTATTTTTTGCTTTCTTGAGTAAGCCAGCTCCAAAATGCAGGTTTCAGCCTAGCTCAGTGCTGTCTGTGGTGGTGGGGCAGCCAGCGTAAAATATGGAGTGTAGGGGTTGGTCATGTTCTCTAGTTGCGCCGTGATTAGCTCAGTGTTCTGTCACTCATGAGGACACTACGTCACTGCCAAATCTAAGGGTAGAGCATTGGCCACAGGTAACATTATGTCAAATCACGTTATATCTACAGTAGCTTTGATTGGACTGATCATGTCAACAACATACTTAAGAAATCTTAGCTAGCAGTCATCATCATGAATCAAATCGACAATCTACTGGCAAATCCTTTTTAATCCTTGTCACATGAAGATAAATAATGAAGAGAAATTATAGGTAAAACATATTGGTGCTCATCGGTCATTGAACATAAACATTACACAACAAGTTGGAAATCGCAAATTCAACAATGAGTGGTTTGGAAGGAATCAGTGGCTAACTGCAAGCATTGCAAAGCAATCACTAGCCTGCTATTCAGTGGAGTGGGTGTGTGGTCCCATTTATGGGTTTAAGGGTCTCTTTTCCAAGCTTAAAATGATAAACATTCAACATTGGCCATGCTGTCAATCCAGCATGACTTCTGCCATGCTCAAAACAACTGTTAACTTGTGCCTCACCCTAATAATTTGGTCTATTTTCCCCTCTTAATTTCGCCTACTGTTCTGACTTGGTGGTGCACATGTAGCCTATAACCTGTTTTAGAGAAATGTAATCATCGAATATTGTATGAGCTTTCATTGTCTGCTTATATGCCCCCTTTATTTACCCCACGGTTCTGACTTGGTGTACAGGGAGAATACTGTAAGAACGGCCCATGTTCTGAATTCTGTCGCTGTACATTTCAAAAGTGCTGAACAAATAGTTAAATTGACTACGTCTGTCCTAGCTCACTCATTAATGTCTTAATCGAAATTACGAATTGCCTCTTATCCGCTTGTCATCCCCTTATTCCATAGTTTGTACATCTCAATTGTCAGTAGAAACCACATTTGTTTAAGCAAGTCAGCCATATCAGCTATGGTTTTTAAAAGGCAGTAAATGAGGCTGAATGAACCGTTTCGCTGCAAGCAAGGCTGCGGTGATAGCCAGGTGTAGCAGTGGTAAGATGTTGGGACTGCTGTTGGGACTCCAATATGTATTGGATCAGGGTAGCTGACGCTACTACAAGATCAAATTTAGAATTGCTTTCACATTGTACTTCGATGAAGAACTTTGGACTTCATTCAGTCAACCCGGGTAGCAGTAGCTTAAACATACCTTTTTCCTGTGGTTAAATAGTCATGCACCAAGTTGATTCAGGTAATAAGAATGGTATTATTATTCCAGTTTTCAATGTTAGATGTGTGTGCGCGGGCAGTGGTTAGACTGCAGCGTACACATTGCCAAAGCAGGTGTGATCGAATGTGGCTCTTCGAGTTTCACAGATTAGAACATTGACATCCCACTCTTTTGATACAGAGCTGTTTTGTACCTCATTGTCCAAGTATCTTTTTCTGTTCGATTTTGAGAGAGGAGGTTGTCTGATCTCATGCCTTCTCGTTTTTACATGGCATAATATCACATTTCTGAATTCTAATTGACAAAAGGCTGTCTTTGTGTTTTAGCTGTTGATACAAAAGATCATGGGTGTGGAGGTCCCCAAGGACAAGATGGATGGAGCCCTGGAGGACCTGGAGGGCTCTCTGAAACTCACTGAAGAAAAGTTCCTTGAGGTCAAGCCCTTTATCACAGGAGAGCAGATCTCATTGGCCGACATGGTGGCCATTGTTCAGATCATGCAGGTGAGTGTTTTGCAGCTCTTATCTCTTCCTACTTCACTGTAGTGGATTAGACCAAGTACAATGAAATGTCCAAGTCAATGACTGAATCTGTCTTAGATTCTTTGGTTGGGAGCTGCTTGTTTCCACAAGTGTTAACTATAGCAATTATTGATATATGAAACAAGTATGAATCTTCACCAACCTTACAACAATACATTTTGTTGTAATACATTATGTTATGTTGTGGGCCTTAGTGTATTTCTGCTTTCTGGTATCCCACAGCCTGTCAGTTCTGGCTTGGATGTGTTGAGGGGACACCTAAGTTGAGTGCCTGGCGAGACAGGGTTCAGGCGGCGATCGGGAAGAACTGTTCAATGAGGCCCACCAGTGGATTCTCACGTCCAAGGAAATGGTCAAGAATATGGACGGCAGCAAGATGCAGGTCTTCAAGCCCAAGATCTTGATATTGTTCTTCTGAATGCTCCAATGACAGTGCAGTGGAATTCAAATGAAGCTGGTCCTCTGTGAAATAATCAAGCTTGATCTGTTATTCAGCCACTATGCACCATGTAACATAATAAAAGTGAAACATAATAACAAAACAAAAAATTCTCGATGGAATTTCAGACATTCCCTGTTAGTACCACGCGTTTATATCCATTCTTTATTATTCTAATGTTCTAAAAGCTGTTTTTACCAAAAGTTTTAACCTTTCACTGTCCTCCCTGCATCAAGGCTGCTCCTAACCCACTCTCTGAAGCATCACACTGTAGTACAAGCTGCTCTGTTGGGTTGTAGTATTTCAGCACAGGGGTCTGTGCAATGGTATCCCTGATTTTATTGAAAGCCCGCTCATGTCTCTCTGACCACTCCCACAGTGAGTCCTTCTGTGTTAGCTGTCGCAGTGGCTCGCAGAGCTCCGTGGCGTGGCTGCAGAACTTGGCTAGGTAGTTTACCATGCCCAGGAAGCGCTGCACCCCCTGCACATCTGTAGGCCTAGGCATCTGTTTGATGGCTGTCACTTTTCCTGGGTCCACTTTCAACCCCTCTGATGTAAGCAGGTGGCCAATGTAGGGCACTTCCTTCAGCCTGAGCTGCAGCTTCTCCGGATTCAGCTTGATATTGAGCTTCCTGCATCTGTCCAGGAGCATTTTCAGGTTTTTGTCGTGGTCCAGAGTCGCCGCTTCATCGTTGTCTCCCTCTCCCACAATCAGGATGTAATCTGCAATGATTTTGACTCCTGGAAGACCTTCCATTGCCTGGTTCAACTTCCTCTGAAAGATCTCCGGGGCTGGACTGATTCCCATTGGCATGCGCAGCCACCTGTAGCGTCCCATGTGAGTAGAGAACGTGGTGAGATAGCAGGATTCCTCCTCCAGTTCCACATGCCAAAATCCATTTTTTACATCACAAACAGAGAACACGTGCTCTGTTCAGATCTGGCAACACATCATCAATAGTGGGAAGTTGGTAATGGCTCCTCTTGAGCGCCTTGTTGAGAGGTTTCGGATCAATGCACACTCTTTTTTTCCAGATGGTTTCTTCACTACGAACAGGCTGCTAATCCAATCTGTGCTTTTTTCAACTGCTTTTATCATCCTTCTTTTCTCTAGACCACTGAGCTCCTCTTTGTGGTTTATATAGTGCCACTGGCACTCTTCTCTTTGGCAGCTGGACGGGCTCCACTCGCTCAACCACCTCCAGCTTTAGTTTGCCGGGTAAGCATACATCTCCCTGGAATACATCAGAGTACTCTTGTTTAATTTGCTCTTTAGTCCAGGATCCTGTTGTTTTCTCGATGGCCAGGATGTTGTGATGCTGCACAGTAATCAACTCCATTGCCTGGATAGCCTTACTGCCTAGAATGGGCCTGTGCACAATCTTGTTGACTACGATGAACTCAACTCGGTAGGTTTTCTTATTGCGTGGATTGATCACTTTAAGTGTGCACTTCCCCAGTGGCGTCAGAGTACTATTGTTATACATCACCAATACCTGACTGCAGGGCTCTAGGTGACTGGTTTTTATGAGGTTTGCAGGGATAACATTACAACTAGCACCACAATCTAGCTGATATCTGACATACTTTTTGTTGACCAGCATGGTTGCAAAGAGAGCTGCATTGGGGTCTGTGGTTGTCACGGTTTCGGCCGAGGCTGCTCCTCCTCCTGGTTCGGGCAGGCTTCGGCGTTCGCCGTCCCCGGAGTACTAGCTGCCACCGCTCTATGTTTCTGTGTTCCATTGCTTTTGTCTGTCTGTCACACCTGTGTTTGTTTTAGAGTTGATTACTTGTCTTATAAGTTCCATGCATTATTCTAGGGTAGTTGTGTGTGGTTGTCCGTTGCTCCGTGGTTTTGATACGTGTTTGTGTTTCCGTGTCATTTTTCCCTTTTGGAGTGTTTTACGCGTGTGCGTATTGTTCCTCACCTCTCCGTGTTTTCGAGGTCGGGGCTTGTACTCTTGTTTTGGGACATTATTAAAGTCTTGTTGGACTACCTCTGCTTCCTGCGCTTGACTCCTCCACCACATCCACGACAGATATGACAGAACCACACACCATCATGGAGTCAGCAGGATCAGCGGCATCTCCCGAATCGCTGCTGGAACGGCTAAATTTCCAGGACGCCATGATCCAGCAAATCGGGACCGCTATGGACAAGGTGTCCAACACCCTGCGCCGTTTGGTGAACACTGAGGACTTTTACAACATCACATCACCAACGGCCAGTCCTCCTCTCTCAGTACCGGAACCCAGTGGCATTCGGCTCTCACTCCCGAGGGCATATGACGGTTCTGCAGCCGGGTGTCAGGGATTTCTCCTGCAGGTAGAACTGTACCTTGCCACTATACACCCGGCGCCCTCGGGATACGAGAGCGTCTCCGCCCTCATCTCCTGTCTCTCCGGCAAAGCGTTGGAATGGGCCAACGCTGAATGGAGGGGAATAGACGCCGCTACCATCACCTACGCGGAGTTCTCTCGCCGCTTCCGGACTGTTTTCGATCATCCTCCTGAGGGGAAAGCGGCGGGAGAGCGTCTATTCCACCTCCGACAGGGGAAGAGGAGCGCACAGGAGTTCTCACTGGAGTTCCGGACACTAGCAGCGGATGCGGGGTGGAATGAGAGGGCCCTCATCGACCAGTACCGATGTAGTCTACGCGAGGACGTTCGTAGGGAGCTGGCCTGCAGGGACACCAACCTAACCTTCGACCAGTTGGTGGACGTTTCCATCCGTCTGGATACCCTGCTGGCTACCCGCGGACGTCCCGAGTGGGGGTCGTCCAGTCCACCCTCCAGCGCCCCCGAGCCGATTCCCATGGAGCTAGGGGGTGCTGGCGCTAGAGAGAGGAGGAGGGGGAACCCGAGGGGGGCCATCCACTGCACCACCTGCGGTCGTGGAGGACACACTGCGGCCAGGTGCTGGGGAGGGTCTCCTAGGGGAGGTGACAACAGGCAACGCACTGGGGAGTCATTTCAGGTGAGTAGACGCCCCACTCACCCAGAGCTCTCTGTTGGTCACATGAGTATTCCTGTGAGGTTTCCACAGGTGGCACCTCATTCCCAGCATAAGGCGCTAGTAGATTCAGGCGCAGCTGGGAATTTTATTGATCGGGCATTTTGTAATAGGTTAAGGATTCCCCTTCTGCCGGTAGACAATCCATTTCCTGTCCACGCACTAGACAGCCGGCCGTTGGGGTCGGGTCTGATCAGGGAGGTCACAGCACCACTGACTATGACGACGCAGGGGGGTCATGAGGAGAGCATTCAGTTTTATCTGATTGACTCTCCTGCGTATCCCGTGGTGTTGGGACTTCCCTGGTTAAGCACCCATGATCCTACTATAGCGTGGCAACAAAGGGCTCTTATGGAGTGGTCTGCTCAGTGTGTAGGGAGATGTCTAGGTGTTTCCGTAGGAGCGACCTCGGTAGAGAGTCCGAACCAAGTGCCCGCACTGCGCATTCCCCCCGAGTATGAGGATTTAGCACTCGTGTTTAGCAAATCGAGGGCAGCACGGCTACCTCCTCATAGACAGGGGGACTGTGCGATAAATCTCCAAACAGGAGCGGCTCTTCCTCGGAGTCATGTGTATCCCCTGTCTCAAGAGGAGACAGCGACTATGGAGACATACATAGCCGAGTCCTTGGCACAGGGATACATACGGCCCTCTACTTCCCCAGTCTCCTCGAGTTTCTTCTTTGTGAAGAAGAAGGACGGGGGATTGCGCCCGTGTATTGATTATCGTAGTCTCAATCAGATTACAGTTAAATACAGCTACCCACTGCCACTGATTGCAACGATGACGGAGTCATTACGCGGAGCGCGATTCTTCACAAAGTTGGATCTCAGGAGCGCGTACAATCTGGTGCGCATTAGGGAGGGGGATGAATGGAAGACAGCATTTAGCACCACCTCGGGTCATTACGAGTATCTCGTCATGCCATACGGGTTAATGAATGCTCCGTCAGTCTTCCAATCCTTTGTTGACGAGATTTTCCGGGACATGCATGGGCAGGGTGTAGTAGTGTACATCGACGACATCCTGGTGTACTCTTCTACACGAGCCGAGCATGTAGCCCAGGTGCGCCGAGTATTGAGACGACTGTTGGAGCATGACCTGTATGTCAAGGCAGAGAAATGCCTGTTCTTCCAGGAGTCCGTCTCCTTTTTGGGTTATCGGTTGTCTTCAGCTGGTGTGGAGATAGAGGTAGACCGGGTATCGGCCGTGCGTAATTGGCAAACTCCAACCACTGTAAAAGAGGTGCAGCAGTTCTTGGGTTTTGCTAATTACTACCGGAGGTTTATTCGGGGTTTTGGACAGGTTGCAGCTCCCATTACGTCCCTGCTAAAGGGGGGTCCGGTTCGCTTGCGGTGGTCGGCTGAGGCGGACAGGGCATTTATCAAGCTTAAGAACCTGTTCACCTCGGCTCCGGTGCTGGCGCATCCGGATCCCTCTTTACCATTCCAGGTTGAGGTAGACGCGTCCGAGACCGGTATTGGGGCAGTCCTCTCACAGCGGTCCGGCGCGCCACCTAAACTCCGCCCCTGTGCTTTCTACTCGAAGAAGCTCAGCTCGGCGGAGCGTAACTATGATGTCGGGGACAGGGAGTTGTTAGCCGTAGTCCAAGCCCTAAAGGTGTGGAGGCATTGGCTTGAGGGGGCTCAACACCCTTTTCTCATTCTGACTGATCACCGTAACCTGGAATACATCCGGGCAGCTAGGAGATTGAACCCTCGTCAGGCTAGGTGGAATATGTTCCTAACCAGGTTTGTCTTTAAAATCACATACATCCCAGGGTCCCAGAATGTTAAGGCAGACGCACTGTCCCGGCGGTATGACACGGAGGAGAGGTCCAACGAGCCTACTTCCATATTGCCGGAATCTTGTTTGGTGGCTCCGGTAGTATGGGAGGTCGATACGGAAATCGAGCGGGCACTGCGTACCGACCCTACTCCCCCCGAGTGTCCTGTGGGGCGGACGT